ACGCCAGCTGAGCCAAATATAACACCAACTTCTTGCAGGGAGCCAGGCACACTCACTTTATTTTAATCACATACCCTGCCCCCGGTCTTCCTCTTGCTTATAGATTTATAAAGCCTCTTTGATTTCATCGAATTATATGTTTAAAATATTATATATGTGTGTATGAAGTATGACTAGTGATCTTTTTAAAACGAATCAACAAAATACTTCAGCAGAATCAAATGTGTTGAGAAGCTGAGGGTACTGGTCATACTATTTGTTAAGTCAGGTGGTGGTTTTGTGGGTGTTCGTCTTAAGTATCAACTACTCAAGAATTTTTTAAAAGCGGACTGCTCTGGTGTTGGAAGTTTATATATTCTGAATTTTATAGGCAAGGAAATTTAATGTAGTTTTATGCATGGTGGTAACATGATTTTCTGCTCTATACAAGCCACTGAAGGTAGAACACTTGCTCTACACGCTATAACATCCCAGAAAATAAGGCCTTCTTGTTAACTACCAAAATATGTACTGTTTGTGTGGTTAGGTTAGGCCATTACAGAAAACAATGTTAATGAAAGCTCATTAATGCCCACAGTAGAAAGACTTGATCGCAAAGACACCAGATCTGGCAGTAGCTAATTCTGGCAAAGGCCGTCAGCTCTTCTCTCAAACACTGATGACTAGGCACTGTGAGGCAGAGGAGAAATTTTCTGAGCATTAAACGTTTGCTTCATAAAGGGAACCCGTCTGCATGATATAAGAATCGGGGAAGGTGAAAAGTGGGCTAAGATCACTTAACAAAAAGCTTCTCCACAGTTATTTAACATCAGTGAAATCAGCCATGGAATACACTCAATGGAGAGTAACTTTGAAATTGCCCTACTCCAGTTCTGCTAGTAAAATAACCCATGTACTTAAACTGGGACTAACACTTTAATGTGAACTTGCAGTGCCAGGACACTATGCTCTGAGCACATTTACCAAGAGGAGAAAGCAGACTCTTCTGTGCAGTCTTCATTGTGTCCCTGCTTTTCTGAGGTGCTGTAGCTAAACTTGCTCATGCAGAGTAACCCCTTCCCCTAGAGGACAACATAGCTTTGGCTTTTTGTTTGTTTTTGAGATGGAGTTTCACTCTTGTCACCCAGGCTGGAGTGCAGTAATACAATCTTAGCTCACGGCAACCTCTGCCTCCCGGGTTCAAGCACGATTCTCCTGCCTCAGCCTCCTGAGTAGCTGGAATTACAGGTGTGCCCCACCACGCTTGGCTAATTTTTGTATTTTTAGTAGAAATGGGGTTTCGGCATGTTGGCTAGGCTGGTCTCGAACTCCTGGCCTCAAATGATCCACCTACCTCAGCCTTCTAAAGTGCTGGGATTACAGGCATGAGCTACCATGCCCAGCCAGCTTTGATTTTTAAAGATATGTTATCTTCATTATCAATTTATGCATTTTTTAAATGGCATGGAATGGCATTTTTAGGAATGGAACCTTTATGTAAAACATGGTACCTAAAAGGCATGTGTAGGAGGTGGTGCTGGTGGTCTTTGCTTTACAATGACTGGGGATATAACCAGCATCCAGGAACCGATTAGGCTGAAAGCCAGGGGTCCTGCTTATGTGCAGGAGCCTCGAAGGGGGTGTAAGTAGGTTTTCCTTCTTCACTCTGTCAGGCTCAGGATCTGTGAGTAAAGCCAGTAAATTCTGCTGTCCTGCAAGGTCACTAGGGCCCTCTGTGTCCAAGTTTTACCCTCTCCCGGAGGGGGAGGTAAAGGTATGTCTATCCTGCCTTGGATAAGCAGAGCATCTTTGTTGTTCATGCTACCTAGCTACACTGAAGCATATAAATAAACCTCTCACCCACACACCGTTTTCCAGTGCACATACTAAAAGGGGCCGTATGCTCCATTATCACAGAAGACACTGGTTGGCATATAAATGATTAATAAACTTAATAATTTATCAATCATTCTTCAGAACCAGTCCTAAAAAGTTTACTAGACATGGACCTCTAGTATTTTAATTTTTCTATTGAAATTTTAATACAGAAATATTCCTTTAAAAATAAGTTGTGAATTCCTATTTTTAGAAGTGAGCAATTCTGATTCGAGATATATGCCCATACCTTGTTTAACATACAGTGCTGATTTGGCATGCGATGTGCCTCTATACTTTCCTTTAAACCTCAGTTTAAAGGAAAATATTATAGATGTAATACTTAGATAATATAGATTTAACATATCACTGATGTTAAATCCTAATTTAAACATAAATATTTCCCCATCTCTGAGTGCTACCTTACACCGTCAGGTCACCAGTGCCAGAGCAGCATATATGCTGCACATTCTCTTGCACCTGCCCTGCAGACATCTTTGGGAGTGGAATGGATGCTCTGCCCAGCTGTCCCTAATCAAGGGTACAAGGCAGTGTGCCATGCACCAGTCTGGCCTCCTTCTTTCTTTCCTGCTGTGTCCTATGACCCAGAAGGGCCAAAAAAGGAAATAAAGCAAAGACACAAAGGAACAAAGATCAGGGCTGGAAGTTAAACACGTAAGCTTTACAGAGGCTTAACAGCCTTTGAGGAAGTAGTTGGGAAAATACTGGCAGGCAATTAGGGATCCTCTGACATACCCTGAACCTGGGAGCCCTGAGTGGCAGTTCTGATGACATGGAAAAACCTACGGTGGCAGATGGAAGTTGGAGCTTCTAGTGCCCCCAGCACCCCCTCAGAGAAAGCCCCAGTTTTAGGGGCAAATCTGCATGGACTGTAAATAGAAGGTAGTGACGCTCATGGCATTGAGAATGCCCAGGCACAGTGGAAGTTACCTCATAAAATGCTGGTTTTCTGGTTTCCATTTCAGCAAGGTTGACAAAGTTATATTAGGCTCGCTCCATTGTACTATGTTTAAAACGCAATTTTAAATTTTACCTCCAAGTGTTTATCTCCTGTACCTTGAACACACATAAATCCTACACAGGAAAAGAGTGATTCGGCTGGATTCTATCTACGGTGCTCTCATTAAAAAAATTAAAAGTCTGTTTGGGCACGGTGGCTCATGCCTGTAATCCCAGCACTTTGGGAGGCTGAGCAGGGCGGATCATCTGAGGTCAAGAATTCAAGACCAGCCTGACCAACATGGAGAAACCTCATCTCTACTAAAAATACAAAATTAGCCGGGTGTGGTGGCGCATGTCTGTAATCCCAGCCACTTGGGAGGCTGACAGCATAAGGTAGATGATTCAGATTTAGGTTCTTCCTTAACAGGCATAGGTCCTATATTTTCGCCTATGATAGACAAGACTTCCAAACCCCACTGGACATGTCTCCATGTCCTCTTTTCATTTATCTGTCATATCCAGGAATCTTATCTGCTGAAGATAGCTACTGAAGTAACAAGATAAATATAGGCACAAATGTGTTTTATTGTAATATTAAATCTATTAAAGTATTATACACAGCTTCTCTAAATGTTACCATGGATCTTTTAATGTTCTTTAAAACGTCTTAGGGGTCAGGCACGGTGGCTCACACCTGTAATCCCAGCACTTTGGGAGGCTGAGGTGGGTAGATCACTTGAGGTCAGGAGTTCAAGACCAGCCTGGCCGACATGGTGAAACCCCATCTCTACTACTCAGGAGGCTGAGGCGGGAAAATCACTTGAACCTGGGAGGTGGAGGTTGCAGTGAGCCAAGATCGCACCACTGCACTCCAGCCTGAGGGACGAGAGCGAGACTGTCTCACAAAAAAAAAAAAAAAAAAAAATCAAACCAAAACACAAATTACTCTGACATGAGTAAACTACTTTAAAAAATAAAATTTAAAGCCAGGTGCAGTGGCTCACACTTGTAATCCTAGCACTTTGGGAGGCTGAAGCGGGTGGATCAACTGAGGTCAGGAGTTCAAGACCAGCCTGGCCAACATGGTGAAACCCCGTCTCTACTAAAAATATAAAAAAATTAGCTGGGTGTGGTGCTGGGCGCCTGTAATCCCAGCTACTCGGAAGGCTGAGGCAGGAGAACCGCTTGAACATGGGTACGGAGGTTGCAGTGGGCCAAGACTGCGCCACTTCACTGCAGCCTGGGCAAAAGAGCAAAACTCTGTCTCAAAAACAACAACAACAAAAAATTACTTCACTCTAACCAAAAAAGAATGAATGAAATGGTCTGTCCTAAAGGGCTGAATTTCAAGGTGATCACAGGGCGTGAAGTGGTGCTGAGGGAGTTCTGAGAGGTGAGAGGCCAAAGTCTGAATCTAGGTTCATGATTTTGCTTTTATTGTCTGTCTGCTTTACTGAGCGTGAACTTCAGTGGATTTCATAATTAATCAAGATCAAAAGATTATCATCTTAAAGCAAACAAAATAAGCCACCCCTGAAGAACCCTTTCTTCTACTTTTTATTCTGAAAATAGTAATTTTCTGACTTTCTGTTTTACACATCCTTCCAAAAATGGTATTTATGATCCACATTTAAACCCCAAAGGCCAGCTACTGGAAATGTCAGATTACTACACAAAATTAACTCTCACCACATTAAAGTGTACATGTAATAGAAAAATTGGTACTTCAAAAAACAAATGGCAAAGGGGAGTTGTTTAAAGTTAATAATCTCCAATTTAGGGCTTTAAATTGCAGCCCTTGAACTCTTATGCCTGACTTTCTCAGAATGTTTTTGCTTTTTTTCATATTATTGGAGAAAACAAAGGAAGGGAGTACTTAATAAACCACGTCTAGGGAGAAATGCCCTGATAATCTGCAACCTACTTTGAAATGCATTTTTAAAAACGCGGAATCATGGATATAGATATGTGTATGATAAAACAATAATAGCAAAATGCTTATTGCAGACTTGAGGTGGCAGGCATACAGATGTTGAGCGTATGTTTCTTTCAACTTTTCTGAACACTTGAAAACTTTCATAAGTGAGGAGAGTGAGAATTTGTAGTGTTACGGTTGATTTCTAAATGAAAATCAACACAAAATCTACAAGATGCTGATAATGGTACTAAACAAAATCTGATCACTTTTCTTTCTGCTATTCAGGACAAAGTTCCCTCCTTTTTTTTTTTTTTCCCTTTACCTGCTATCTACCACCTGCCCTCTACCCCAAAACAAATCTAATCAAATGTCAGGAAATGACTTTACCAAACTATGTTAATATCAAATTCTAAATCCACAAAATCCTTTATAAGCCAGCCCTCAATAAGACCTGTTTCAAATAAAAAGAGGTGATAATTTTATCCATAGAGGAGGAAGAGAAATCAGCAGATCATGCTAGCAATAAGTTGACAGGATTTTCAAGAGCCTGTTGTATTCCCACAGATCCACTGAAAATGGACGCCCTCTCAGATGGCAAGAATTACTAACTCATTTAGTTCCTTTTTGTTCTAGGATTCTGTCACCTCCCTCATAAGAGATGGAAAGCTAAACACACAGAGAAACAAACAACACACGGTCAAGGCACCTGTTCTCCCTGAAGCATGCTGGGTGGCATCATTTCCCACCTGGAGAGTGGAATAGAGGTCGACCTGAAGGCAGAGTTTAGGTTTTCATGTTAGTTACACCTTTTTTTTTTTTTGAGACGGAGTTTCGCTCTTGTTACCCAGGTTGGAGTGCAATGGCGCGATCTTGGCTCACCGCAACCACCGCCTCCTGGGTTCAGGCAATTCTCCTGCCTCAGCCCCCTGAGTAGCTGGGATTACAGGCACGCGCCACCATGCCCAGCTGATTTTTTGTATTTTTTTTTTAGTAGAGACGGGGTTTCACTATGTTGACCAGGATGGTCTCGATCTCTTGACCTCGTGATCCACCCGCCTCGGCCTCCCAAAGTGCTGGGATTACAGGCGTGAGCCACCGCGCCCGGCCTAGTTACACATTTTAAGCTATTAATATAAAGAATTGTGGAAACCATCTACGCTAGACTCCTCTCTCACATGGAAAAATTAAAAGTCCAGACTGCAGAGGGGACTTGTTCAAGGTCACTGACATTAGGGACAGATAAAAGACTAAGATCAGCCTCTGTGACCACCCCCTGCCCACACTTTTGAAAGGACCTCCTGTTGTGGCAAAAGTGCCCATATTGGAGTTAGGTGCTCTGGAGGATAAATAAGTTATTCCTTATATTGGTCCCTTGAAATTTACTGGATAGGCAACTGATTGTGAAAAGAATTCTAAGGAGAAATGAAGAGATATCACTGGCAACACAGCTACATGAAAAAAATCACAGAGCTAGATGGAGGGTGGGGCAGAGAAATCCTACTCATCCTGCCAAAGTTTCACACCAACAGAGGCAGTTGCTTTTTGGATCTGTTGCTATAACGAGTACCCTAAGTCAGGACAGGAGACCTAACCTCCGTTACACATCTTCTCACAACTAAGTGAGGTACCCCAAACTCTCTTATTGAGCTTCAGTTTCCTTATGTGTAAAATGAGAAGTAGGGACCCCCACTGACTCTTGAGGCCCTCTCAACTTTGGTGCCTTTTTATGCTTTGTGTTTTTTAAAAAAAATGGCCTTAAACTCTTTCAGTTGTGGCAGAGGGCTTAGCAAACTTAAGCCACTAAAACATCCTACAAAAGCAGATCAGAAAACTTTCAGCTGTAAAATGCAACTGAAAATATATTTTGAGTAGAGAAAAAAACCTGAAACCACAAAGACCTGAAACCATGATAAACTAACAGATATGTTCTCTCAGTACAAGTGTTATTACACAACCATAAAGTTTCCAGGAATGAAACTGATTTATCCAAGTACTTTGCAAAAGCAAGAAAATGATGAAAATTGAATTTTAATAAGTTTAATAAGCTCCTCTGGGGGAAAAAAAGAAAGGTACAACCTGGTCATCTAGCTGGGTTTATGCATCCACAAATGTGAGATTCTCTTTAGCCACATGGAAGAAAAACCCCAAGACATATTTATGAAACAAATGTAGACCAAGAAAAGAGATCTGCCCATTTTCTCCCAAACAGTTCATTCTATCTGCCTTATCATTGACTCAAGATGAACTCCCCAGCCCCAATCTTTACTACATTCAGAGTGAAAAGGAGAAAATGTTAGGAAAAGGTAACAAAGCAATTGTTCAGCTTAAAAATAGAGAAAGACATTTCTTATAGACATTTGATAAAGCAACTAGTGCACATCAAGTTGCAACTTAGATTTAAGTTGCTTCAATGAGACAAATAATTTCTGGTCCAAAAGTAAATAAATCAGTTATTTGAAATTGGAGTATACCTTCCCTACAGGAAAAACATAAAATGGTGAGCAACGGGGTTTCCAGTCCAGCCCATGAAAGCCTAATCAACGTGTAAAAATATTCCCAAATGTTTCAAGTGCTTACTAACAGTCTCCTTGACGGAAGCCTCTTTCCCCACTGCCAGCAGTAAAGGCCAGTTCTGCTCTGCTCTTGCTGGTTTTTTTGGCCAAGGGTTTTCCAATTTGGGGGCTGGGGGGTGAGGTGGTAGGGGTGGGGAGGGAGAAAAGGTAAGAAGGAGGAATTCTTAAACTTCTGATTTAGGCTTCATTTTGGAGATCCTCAGAATGTGGCACCACTGAATCTTGAATGGCTCTAAAAAGATCTGTACTGATGCTATTTTACAAATCCCAACTTGAGTATCACTGAGGAAATTCTTTCCTTTTAGGGTCACAATGACTGTTGGTGAGCAATTAAGGCAAGTGTCAGGCTCATAGGATATAATCATGATGCAGTGGAGTCTTGACTCGTTGACTACACAGAAGGACAGGATTTGTCTTACAAGGGCAATTTCCTTCTGAGTGGACAGAGCCATCCACTCAGTACACATATTTCCCGTGTTACTTTCCTGACATAAAAGAACTAGGCAGCAAGGATAATGTAAAGGCCATCTAGCTACCAAGCTTGCTCATAGTTTTAACACGTTTAGTCTTAAAATATTTTTTCATTTATAAGGGAGTAGTGTAGTTTGAAGTTACTTGATTCAGAAAGAGCCTCCAGGAAATACTAGAGCCGTCTCCACCTCCCAAAGTCAACCAGCTTGTGGAGGTACTAGAAGGCATTATATTTCAAGACTCATGATTTTCACAGATAACTGAAACCCTGGGTGGCTGAACTGCTGAAGTTGGGCTTTCCTGGCCATCACTAACATGTTTGCAGCAGGGAGCTAACCAAGCTTTCAGTCATTCTGTCTGCAGTAGTTAAAGACCACCGCCCAAGACAGGACAACCAAGTGGCTACTGCCAACTTCTTCCACCAGAGAGCTTTACTGACAGGTGGAAGTATGCCTGGCCAACCAGACGCAATCACACGACCCTGAAGCCATGCTGTTAGAAACCCGCCATGAGGCTGCCACTTGGTATCAAAACAGAATAAAAGGGTCCCTGACTTAATGTTGGTCAAGAAGAACAACTCTTGGCTCATTTCACTCACTAGTGTGCTTCAGCCACCTCTCAGGACTAACTTCATACTCTTCCATTCTCTAGGAAAGTCACAGTCACTGAAAGCACCATGGATATGCCATCCCCACTGAAAACTGCTACACAACCAACAGTGAGTTGCTTGTATATGGAAGCTCTTGTGTTAACTTTTCCTTGTGTGTTTACATATAAGGAATTAACCTTAATACTTGTGGTACATATATACAATGGGATTATTCAGCCTTAAAAAAAAAAAAAAAGAAGGAAACCTTGTCATATGCTCTAACTTGGCTGAATCTTGAGGATACTGCACTAAGTGAAACGTCAGTCACAAAAAGAAATACCACATGATTTGTTCCGCTTACACCAGCTATCTCAATGTGACTAGTCAAAGTCCTAGAAACAGAAAGGAGAATAGTGGTTGCCAGAGGCTGGGGGCTGGGGAGGGGAGTGAGTTGTTATTTAATTGGTAAAGAATTTCAGTTTTGGAAGGTGAAAATGTTCTAGAGATCTGTCATACAAACTTGAATATAGTTAACACTACTGTACTATACACTTAAAAATGTACAGATGATATATTCTACGATGATATATTCTAAGTCAAGATGACATATTCTATGTTATATGTTTTTTACCACAATAAAAAGATAATCTGTGAAACAAAGAGAGGCTACTTGAAATAGGTAAAGAACCCCAAATTTAGAAATTTTGGGTTTAGCTTAGGAATATTTCTGCAGTCCTTAAGAAGTAAACATTCACTTTGGGAGGCCAAGGCAGGAGGATCGCTTAAGCAACACTGTGAGATCTCTATTTTTATTTAAAAAATTTTTTTTAAAAGAAAAAAGGAGTAAACATTACTACTATTTAAAAAGTTAACTTTCCCTTAATTATAAAAGTAACATATGTCCCCACTTTGCAAACTACATCCATCACAACCCTCCTTTAAGAAACATTCTTCTACACTATGGGAAGCAATTAACAAATATGCAAGACCTTCTCAAGGAAACTATAAAAGGAAGATCTTATGATTCAAATATAAGTGTAAATGTCAGCTTTGCTTTGTTCCTGAGGGTACCGGGCAAATCATACATAAGAAAAACGCAAACATTTCCTTTGATACTGGTTTTACTGAGATAAAAATGGCTTTTCTTATAAAATCATTTCAAAGAAGGACAGAAAAAGTTAAAGAAAATAGATTTCCCCTGAATTGTTAGCTCTGACAAATTCCTCTAATCCTCAGACATTTGTACTCTAATAGAATACTTACTATGTATACAACATCAGCAACAGAATACCCCACAATATTCATGACTAGTCCCTTTTCATCCCTTCTATTCTAACCTCAGTTTTAAAGACTAAATACACAGATTATTAAACACACACACACATAATCATAAGAATTTCCTAATAGTTCCATTTCTTCTACATGGGGGTTAGCGATGTTCTTTAATATTACTCAAAGCAGGAAAAAAGGGGCTGTTTTATTTTTCTTTGGAACAGGTTCCTGCCAGATTTTGCACATTGCAGTTCTCTGGCGACGTGATGAGAACACATGGCCACCCACAGACACTAATTTTGCTCTTCACCCTTCCCAAGCAGCCTTTATGACACATGCTGTCTGTGCTTCATTTAATGGAATTCAAGAGGCCCAGTCAAACAGCAGAGTCCCACAGGGCCAGGGCAACAACAGGCAACCCATCTCTTCCACTGGATAGGTACAAGGAACATGTGTTTAAAAGAAAACAACAACAAAAAAGCCAAATCTAGGTTGGGCATCTCCAATCTGAAGAATCTTTACAAATGAATGAATTAACACCAAAAACTAAGTCATCTCTTTGATTGAGATCAGGAAAGAGATAGTAATCTTGCTGTGGTTCCTATACACTGAACTCTATGAAGATGATGCAGCAAACTTTCTGAGCTGCTCTCAGATATGCAGCAAAGAAGGTACCACTCTCATCCCAAGCCAAAAGCACTCATTTCTAAAGGGCTGAAGTGCCAGCCTGGTTCTGCAGCATTTACTTTCTCTATGGTCATCATCTGTCATGAGGAAACCTTGGCAATTAAAAATCCAACTGGGCTGGGAGGCCGAGGAGGGTGTATAACCTGAGGTCAGGAGTTCGAGACCAGCCTAGCCAACATGGAGAAACCCTGTCTCTACCAAAAACACAAAATTAGCTGGGCATAGTGGTGCATGCCTGTAATCCCAGCTACTGAGGAGGCTGAGGCAGGAAAATCGCTTGAACCCAGGAGGTGGAGGTTGCAGTGAGATGAGATTGTGCCATTGCACTTCAGCCTGGGCAACAAGACGGAAATTCCATTTCAAAAAAAAAAGAAGGAAAAAAAAAAAAGAATCAAACTGGGAATGCACATGGTTTCCACAACTGTGCCACGTATACCTCCAGACAATCCGGGTGCAGTTGACGCAACACACTGTCAGCAAACTTATACCTGAAAGAATGTTCAGGGCTCACAGAAGTCCATGCTGGTTTGATAAGAGGGTGATCATTCATCCCATTTATAAATTTAGGAGTTTTAGAAGGCTGATCCACATTTGTCTCTGACTTTTCTGAGCTACACAGAAAGTTGCTATTTCTAGATAATGATAAAAGATTTACCTCCAAGTGTCATTAATCCCACCCACTATGCAGGCAGAATAACCGTAAACTCCAGATGTGGGGAGGACAATATCACAGCAGACAGTGGGCAACGGACAGCAGGCGATAGGCAAAGCCTCCTGCGGGAGTGATCATTGTGGCCACGTGTCCATAAATCACACATTCGGACAGCCAGAACAGACTGCAGACTCAATAATACATAGGTCTCTCTCTAAATATAAATAAGGATGTTTAAATGTTGGTAGGTGATCTATACTAATTTTAAATAAACCTGTTTTTATGAAATGTTTATTGAATTCATAATAGCTTTGAGTCTTTAGAATATAATTTTAATAAGTGCTAAAAATCTGCAAGCCAGCAAAAATTGGGAAAAACTGTTCCACTAAAATATCTTGGGCACTCTTAACCTTTCAGGATTCAAATGCTCTCCCTGACTGTCACTCTTCCCAATAAAAGGAAAAAAAAAATCTTCTGTCCAAGGTTATGTTACTCTACTTGGCTCAGAAAACATGGCCACCAAAACTATCAAATGGATTTTTGAGTAGAGCAGTTCTTTCTTGATTTCCATCCAAGCAGAGTTAGGTTTTGAAGAACCAAAAAGGAATAGTTCAAAGTTGCTTATACACAATAGCAATTTATGGCTCTGGATTGTAGACTCCAGTAAATCTATGAATAAAAGAAAACCCAGGGAGGAATTTATCTCCAATAACAATGAATCCCCACTAGGGCCGGAATTAAGAGAAGAACCAGACTGGGCTTGGATCTGAAGTGTTTTTAAATGTAACACTACCCGGCACGTTGCTCTGAACATAGGCAGTGTCTCACTCAATATCTATTGACTGCTTCCAAGTTGAATGATATGAGACCATTGGAACTGGCCATGGCTCTGTATTCCTTTTCCCTCAAAAGGGAAAGAAGGCATCTAAAAACCACGTGGTTCCTTTGGACTGATGGCTAACAGTGCTTAACAGCAAAGGGGCCTCTGAGGTGTGGCAGTCACAACCCTAGGAGCGATTATCATTGTCTGATCTCAATAGTCAGTATACCCTCTGTGTAGTATCACTGAAGCTAACAGAATATGCTGCTTTTGGTTGACAGGACCTGAGCGAGTCCCAACTATACATACCACAGAAAAACAAGACATTTTCACAGAAAGCATCATTAAATCAAGAACTTTAAAGTAAATTTTTTTTTTGTCCCTGACTATAATCATTTACCATAGGCCTCAAGAGGAAAAAAAAATTGCTATCATAAAACCTAATGTTTTTGTGAAAACACAGGAAATTGGCTATTCTGTCTTTAAGATCAAACAAAATTAATTTATATTATTTTCTAATGAATTTGATAAAGTGAACCCTAAGTTGAGTGTGGCATTCACCAAAACTGTAAGAAAAAAACCTGGTTACTGTAAGATGGCAAAATATGGGTCTTAGTTCAAGCTAATACTTTCGTTTCACAACTTAAAAAAATGTTGTTAATAAAAAATGGCCCTCACTTTGAATCTGAAGTATTTTTTAATGTCACCAAGTACTATTATTAAATATGTACTATATATGCATGTATACACATATAAAAATAAGCACTACAGATGTGGGCAGGAAAATTCTTAGCAAAACCCCCACATATTTCAAATACTGTTCTTCCTCATTATTGTCCTCTACCATAATTAGCATGTTACAGCATAACAGGTGGCTTTCATTTATAGAATGCAAAATTAATGAAATTTGGAGATGGTCCTGTCTCCAAAAACAAATTGGCCATTCCAGAAAAAGTACACCCCTTAATCTACAAAACAAACAGAAACAAACTTCCTTCATGTTGGCTTTCCAAATTATATGAATTTCTGAATGTAGTTAAGTAAGTAAATTGAACGTATTTACTGACAGCTTAAAATTCATATACTTCAAGGAAAACAAGTCATTATTATGGGCTTTATAAGAAAGGAGAAGAGAAACAAAGATTGCCTATTTTTCCAGCTTGGTAACCCCAGATCTGTTTAATGCTCTCTGAGTGATAACAGGATTTACTGCTATATACTGGCTGCTCCACAAATGCTAAATCTTAGGCAAATTTGTGAGCAGTTGTGTTATAGGTCCTGACCCAGCCATTCTGGACAGACAGACCAGGAAAGCATAAATAGTACTGCTATAAACTAACTATAGCATCTGTCCCTAACAAGCAAGACTCACAAAGTATTTTTTAAAAATATGAGGAGACACTGAATAGACCGTCAACACACATAGGAATGTTTAATACACTCAAATAAATAAGATATGTGCTTTAACTACTCAGACATTGTTTAAATTTAGTGGGTGAAGAAAGAGGGTCAGACAGGCAGACACAGCCTCCCAATTATGCAGAATGATCCTTCAGATCATGTGAACACTATAATTAAATGTTGCTACCAAATCCCCACCACTCTTTCTCCTACCTAGAAAAAGTTAATGCATGAATTTAGTTATGAGCAAATTGTGATTTATAAAACAAACAAACAAACAAACAAAAAAGCCACCCTACTCACTCGGTAGGGGAATAAAACTGTCTTGCATTAAGTCACTCACCTTGGAGGTAGGAAAAAAGCACAGTACTGAAAGAAATCCAGTGTAACACAACAGTTATTGTTAGACCACCTCCTTCGGCTCACCTCTGCTTATTCATTTTTTTAAAGCTCTACAGTACCCACCCAAAAGGTATACCATCTCTGCAAGCTGTTTCCTAGGTAGCATCTTTTAGATTCAGGACTTAATGTAAAAAATTTTTTTTCTATCAGAATATCTAAGGAGAAATTTGTTTTCAGAGAGAGGGATGAGGGGGTAAGAGCCCTGAATCTATCAACAGACCGGAGGTTACCTCTCTGTCCTTGCACGTGGGCATACACAAATACAAACACATACACGGTGGTTCTCCACAACTAGGATAATTTTTCTCCTTTAAGAAAATGTTAGAAGCAAGCACCAGAAAGGTTAAGCAGAAGAGAACAATGAAAAAATTAAGTTCATGTAAACAGTAAGCACGTACCTGCCAGGCGATGCCATTTCCTCTACATTGTGGAGCCCAAGTGCTGGGTATTAGCATTATTGCTACTATAAAGCTTCCGATAAAAATGGATTGTCTCTTGCTGACCTGAGAACCAGCTGGCTGCCTGAGAAGTGGTTTCCCCCATATATGATTCAGTCTCCTTGACAAATATACTGCATTGTACCGGATGAGTCATCCGAGGGTTAGTCCGCATTTTATAGGCCTGTTGTGTCATTACTCACATTCAACATCCTGCTTCGCAAAAAGTGGAAACTGGAAGCCTGACAGCTGACAGATGCTTTTTCCAATTAAAATATTGTTTAAAAAATTCCTGTAAGTTATGATTATCAATCATTGATGAGAGTATGAAATGTCGAGGAAGTAAATGGCACAAGCTCAATACCTGAGATTACATTCTGGACAACCACAAGTGCAAATTCTTCACCTGCCCCCATCCCCAAACCAAATAATTTCGTCCAAAGTTGAAAGCAAGGATCCTTATCTTTTAAGTTACCAGCTGAATTAGTGTAGGCATGGACTTGTTGATCGTTGTGCTTGTTGATCGAGGTTACCCAGTTGCAAAGGCTATGTAAAAATCGCACATCAAAATTTTGGTTCTGAATTAATTTTATAGGTAAAATAGTGACGTTGTGTTTATAAAATGTCTACCTTTTTAGAGAGGCATATTGAAGTATGTTAGAGGCAAAATGATATGATACCTGGGGTTTGTTGTGAATATTTTAAATAAATAAATAAATAAATAAGGGGAGGGGTAAAGAAATGTGGCAAAATCTTGATAAATGATTGCATCTGTGTAGTACGTATATACAGATTGACTGTTTTTGTCTTCTTTGAAGTATCTTTGAAAAAATTTTCATAATTTTTATTGTTTTTGAGACAGGGTCTTGCTCTGGAGTGTTGCCCAGGTTGGAGTGCAATGGTGCAATATCGGCTCACTGCAACTTCTGCCTCCCAGATTCAATTCTCCTGCCTCAGCCTCCCAAGTAGCTGGGATTACAGGCATGTGCCACCATGCCCAGCTAATTTTTTTGTATTTTTAGCAGAGATCAGGTTTCATCATACTGGCCAGGCTGGTCTCGAACTCCTAACCTTGTGATCTGCCTGCCTTGGCCTCCCAAAGTGCTGGAATTACAGGCATGAGTCACCATGCCTGGCCGATAAAATGTTTTTAAAAATTAAAAAAAAATTTTTTTTTCAGTCCCTACAAGCCAATTTATACCGAAACAAGTTACTTTTCTAGTTGAGTATAGAGCTGCCACACATATGAGCGAAGGGCACCATTTACACAGTGTGACCCTGTGGGTCTGGGAGCTGAACTTGAAGTTGTTTCTGCCTTCTAGCTGGAAGGTATGATACACATGTCCTACGGCTATTGTGAGTGTTGCATCAACCTCCTGAACAAATGCCTGGTGCCTTCTCCTCCCAGGATGATCTGGTGATCGTTTCCTTTTTTTTTCTCTTTTTTTTTTTAAATTTTCTTTTTTTTAAATGGGGTTTCACCATGATGGCCAGGCTGGTCTTGAACTCCTGACCTCAGGTGATCCACCCACCTCGGCCTCCCTTATGCATTCTCTGAGGACACAAGTCCTGGCTTCGTTCATAAGCTCACTGTTAACATTATGAAGGAGAGGTGACTATTTCCAGCTTCCTTATATGGTTTTGGAAATGCTCCATGAGAAGTTACATAAGTCACATCCATAGTCTCTTAAACCAACAGATTCTTTGGTAGGGTGGCACAGTGTTTGCTTGAATCAATGCTCAAACTGGGTGTCTTAAATCATCTGGAGGAGGAAGAGCTTTGAGTTCATGGATGAAAAAAAAAATCCAGATATGGAAGTTCCAATGTATGTGAAATGAAACTACTGTAGAAACTGGCTGTCACTTTAAAAACTACCAACTTGATGCACTATGAAAACATGATAAGTCACCACAGGAAACAAAATATGGAGGTCACTAAAGCCCAGAGCATCTGTATGGTCCCCTTAGTCCTGAAACTTAAAAATGGAAGCATGTTTCGGGCTGAGGTTCCCACCTCAGCAAACAGCTGACTCTAATTCTTAAAGGGCCTTGTTTAATAGGACTTCAAGCTGGCTGCAAATGGTTGAGACAGTCCCATTCAACATCAAATTACAACCTTATCAATCCAGACTGATTAGAATTGTGCATGGGCCTGAACTGAAGACTTTCTTGGCTTTGACAATGCTTTCCTCATGAAGACTGCAGGCTGCAGCCTTATCAAAATGTTTCCTTGCAATTTTATAACCTTTCACACACTTGAAAAGCACAATTTACCTTAATGCACAGGTAGAAATGGGGGAAATTAATAAACTTGTAGTCTAATTTGAGTTTCCCTAGTATCTTTGAGAAATAAGTTCACTGTTCATTGAAGAATTTTATAATTCAGACTTCGGTAATAAAAAATACAAAAATAATAGCAATAATGTATGCATATATGCACACACAAAGAATGAGAATAAGGCAAAGATAGTAAAATGGTAACAAATGGGGAATTGGGTATAGGGAGTCCATACTATTCTTGCAACATTTCTGTAATTATGAAATATTTCAAAATAAACTTAAACATTCACAACCACACAAGAAATAATATGTATAAAACCCCTATTCCTAAAAAAATAAACAAAGAGATTATTGGGAGCAGTGGCTCATGCCCATAATCCCAACACTTTGGGAGGCCGAGGTAGGAGGATTGCTTGAGGCTGGAGTTTGAGACCAGCCTGGGCAACAAAATGAGACCTTGTCTTTACAAAAAATACAAAAATTAGCTGGGCATGTTGGTGCATGCCTGTGGTCCCAGATACACAGGAGGCTGGGGCAGGAGGACAGCCTGAACCTGGGAGGTTGAAGCTGTAGTATGCTGTGTTTGTGCCACTGCACTCCAGTCTGGGTGATGCAGCAAAAACCCTGTCTCAAAACAACAACAAAAAAAGATTTTTAAATGTATTTAATAATCACTATAGCTGCTGCTGACATGCCCACTCATTTGAAAAATCTTGGACCATAAAGAAATTTACCAAAATGTTAACACTGGGAAATGCCTCTGGGTTTGGGTTTCTCAGAGGATATTCCCTGTAAATATTTTTATAAGGGGACACATGGACACACACACAAACACACACACACACACACACACACACATTTTGGGAAAACATCATGCTATATCCTTGAGGATACTGTTCAAGTTTCTCTAAGCTTGCATTTTTCAAATTTATTTGACCACAGACTCCCCACCCCCAACTCTCACTACCATCCCAATGAGCCTGAAGAAAGAACTTTGGTGGTGATAGCATATGGGATACTTTCTCCCTGATCTTCTTTGCTTTTACTCTAAGTTTTCTTCAGAACACATTTATTCATTGTAACAACAAAGGCATCAAAACATGGCTCCTGCTATCTTTAACAGACATTTCTATTTGGTCAACCTGCATGCTAATGACACCACTAGTTAGAAAACAATGTGAATTATGCAATTTCCAGTCTCCCCTGACCATACTAGTGTGGTCTGTGCCACCAGCAGCTGAGAAACCTGCACCTGTGAGCCATGGCTTGGCAGCTCATGCCAGTGCTGGGCCTGGGTGAGACCATTCCAAGGAGTAGTATAGCTTGCCGCAGGCCTGGCTCCACCTCACTGATTTCAGAGCATGGGGCCTTAGAACCTGGAAACCAGCCTGGATATGTCTTCTGCCTCTGAGCTCTCCAGGCCTTCACACATTTATTTCCTAGCACTGATGCTTGGCAGGTAAGAAGCAAATTTAGCTCTAGCTAAAAGCAAAACTTTAGCTATATATGTATATAACTTAAGTCCCAATACCGGCTAATGTCAAGATCTAAAGGCAAATGTGGATATCAATGATGCAGGTACTGTATAGGTTGACTGTATTGTGTAGTGGTATAAAGCATGAGCTTGGAGTCAAATTTTCTTGGTTCAAAATTCAGCCTTGTCCACACTTAATGTTACTTAACTTCTCTAAACTGCTGTTTCCTTATCTGTAAAATGGGTACAATACTATTAATGATCTCACAGAATTGTTTTGAATGGTATAAATATGACCATTTGCAACAAGTACTTAGTACAGAGCCTGGCCACATACAGAACACTCATCAGTTTATGTGAACAACAGTGATAATGATATTAGTAAGTTTTAAGAATTTACACTCTCAGAGGTAGGCAGATTATGGCCAGCCACACATTCATCTGTTTATATACTGTCTATGACTGCTTGAGAGCTACAAAGGGAGACCCGAGCAGTTGTAACAGAAACCATACGGTCCCCAAAGCTGAAAATATTTACCATCTAACTTTCATAGAAAAAGTTCATTGACCCCTGGTGATCAACATTTGGGTAAAAAAACAACCAGATTGGCCGGGCGCAGTGGCTCACGCCTGTAATCCCAGCACTTTGGGAGGCTGAGGTGGGTGGATCACGAGGTCAAGAGATCGAGACCATCCTGGCCAACGTGGTGAAACCCCGTCTCCACTAAAAATACAAAAAAAAAAAAATTAGCTGGGCGTGGTGGCACACTCCTGTAGTCCCAACTACTTGGGAGGCTGAGGCAGGAGAATTGCTTGAACCTGGGAGGCCAAGGTTGCGCCACTGCTCTCCAGCCTGGCGCCTGGTGACGGAGTGAGACTGTCTCAAAAAAAAAAAAAAAAAAAAAAAAAAAACAGATCTTTTTCCTATAGAAATGTTGGTTGTTGGTCCCATATTCTTCTTAATGTCCCAATTTAGAATCGGATACAAGAGTGTTATTTATGGTGATTTGGTCCACAGGAGCTGTAGCTCATACTTTCCTTATAATGCAAAACACATACACAGCTCTCTGTCTTGTGGCGGGAGGGGAAATCTACAGTGCCTGAGTTTGCCTGTTGGTCTTTCCACCTCCCCTCTTTCCTGACCAGCTCACTCAGAGAGGACCTCCCCTATTTCAGAGTCCAGTGACTCCAGCTAAAGTGTATGAGTCCACAGTCATCCTCCCCTCCCCCAAGTCACATTTGTGCATTATGTAGAAACCACAATGTCCCCAGAGGTTGAAGCAAGAGGTGAAAGATGATCTGGAAGAGGCATGCAGGAAACTAAGCAAACAGAAATGAAGGATGCTTTCAAGGGGGCTGAATAGCCACACACAGGATTAACAAGGCAGAGAGGGCCTTCAGAAATGAAGGTTACAGCCACACTGTTGCTGCCCATAAGAGCTCAGTAGGAGAATGAGGGCCAGCCCAGAAAAAAGAACATGCCTCAAAATCAGGTCCCAAGACATATCCCTGCATCCAATCATACTGCATATTTTCTTTGGCAGGAAATCTTGTTTATTTGGGGGAAATGAATCCACAGCATTAATGGATAATGCAGGTGAAGGAACTCCTGGGACTGGTCTCTGGGAGGGGAAATTTGAACAAAAGAAACATTCTAACTGCCTTCAGTTATGTTCTCTTGAAAAAAAAAAAAAAAAAAAAAGTCTCAGCCAGCTGTTTGAACAGATTAAACTGGGGTATACTTAGATATACACAGTGTCTTTCTGGTGGTCACTTTCTGCCTTACTGGCAAATACCAACATCTTTGAGAGGTCACTCCAATAGAGAAATGCCTGTGTTAAATACTGACAAGAATAATGAGGGCTGGTCACAGAAGAAGGGGTGGCAGATGATTTCTACTGTTACCTAGTAGAGCAGGACTTCAGTATACACAGTGACAAATCTTACTTGAAGCTAAGTCAGTTTTCAGCTATGTTTCTTAAAGTGTAACCAACTGGCAGGAGGGGTAAAATAAAGCTCTCTCCAAAGCTCAGGGTTAATTTGGGGATGTTCAGCTTGGCCAGGTCTTCTGGCTCTTCTTGCAGATGAAATGCATATAGGCTATTATG